TCCACGTCAAGTGATGGAAGTGGTTTTGCAAAGATGTTGTGAATGTAACTGTCACCCAAAAAAACTGTTTGTCCCCTGGTTGACCTTTTGCTAGCTACCTATTTTAAAACTTCCCTTTCATTTCCAGTCACCTTGTCAATTTCATTTTCATTCACTCTTTGATCAGGTTCTGGTGTATTGTTCACAAGAAAGAGTCAGACTTCTATTTTATGGACAAGAAATACAGAATAATGGATTATACTTCAGACAAGAGGGTTTCCTGTGTTGACACTCTCACAGCTAAGGGTTTGGCATTTGCTCATCCAAACAGGTAGGCTATATCAATAAAATGACTGACTTATATTACTAATCAAGCATCACATTTTCATAAAAGCTTGCATTCATATATGCCTTTGAATGATTTGAGATATGACTTTCTAATCTTTCAGTCATCATCAGTCTGATTAAATGGAAAAGGACTGTTTCTTATCACACTGTAGAAGGCCAGGGTACCTATGAAAAGAGAAGAACTCTGTACAGAGACATTAGAATTCAATAAATGTATAAGGATATGAAATAATGTCATGCCCAGAGTAAAAAAGTACTGTAGTACAGATTCTTATCTGTAATCTCTTTTAGATATCTTGAAACTAAACTTAAAAAGGACTTGATGTGTGCAAAATATGCTTTCTGACAGTGATTTGTCAAACTGTCTGGTGATTCACACTGAAGGAAATCATTCACTGGGTTTTTGTTTCTCATGGGTGAAAAATGTGATGAGGGGCTGCTGAGTTTATGCACCGACACAATAATCACATTCATGCTTGCTATCTTCCCAGAATTATGCTTCAGATGCAGACCGTTAACACTCTACCAGTTTAATCTAATAAAAACAAAATTATGTGATAAGTGGTAAACCTCATACAGCTTATTGTGTGCAGTCGAACGTGTTTCCCCTGAAGACCGTGTGGAAGTGAAACAGGTTTCTGTAGCTGAGGGACTTGGCGCTGAGACATTTTCAGGGGAAGTCAGACTGACAGGTTCCTATTATGCTGTCCTTTATCCTCAGACTGAAGTCACTGCTCTGCGTGTCGCACTTCCATTCTTGGTGAGTTTGACTTTGCTCAGCAGGAACCTTTAACACAAAATGGACAATGCTTTTAGACTTTCATTATTGTCATTCTTTATTACATTTTTAATATATGAGAATTTTTTTTATTAATTTCACAATTACAGTCACAGTTTTATCTATGTCAACACAATAAGCCATTTAAGAACACCTCAGATTAATTATGATACAGTATTATCATTCTTTCTGAGCAAGTTTGGCAACAGTTTACATGTCTTTTTTTCCCCACATTAATTTGTTAACATGTTAGTTTTAAAAGAAATATACAAAGAATTAGTTGCCAAAGATACAATGACACTTCTACATTTTTTAACAATATAATTTAACTGTCTGTTTTGGAAATTGTAACAATCCCTGCCATTTGTCTCCATCTAGTGGCCATGTGCACAAAAAAATAGTCTCACCCAATTAATTGATAGCATAGATTGTTTGAAGTCTCTGTGATGAATGAGTCATCTCTCACCTGATGGTACCTGGGATTGGCTCCAGTTCAGCTGAAACCCGGAATAAGTGAGAAGGTTTGGTATGGGACTATTGGTAGCCTGCATGAAACCTCCAGAAAAAGTGTATTTACTCCAAGTCGTCACTGTTTGTGTCGGAGCCATGCAATACTGTCTGTTTTCTGGGTCTGAGGGGGACAGCACAACATAAAATAAATCAGTATTAACTTCAACCTGTGATACAAAAGAATAGAAAATAAACTTACTAAGCAGAAACTAACCAAAAACCATGTAGTCAGTTTTCTGTTATCTAAAACAGACAACTGTTGTTATAAGTTGTTACAGTATAAGTTAACACGCTGCAGAGAGTGAGGAAACTGTTTGTCATTTGGCTCACAATTGGGTTATTTCTGCCTGCAAATGTAAGAATGTGAAGTACACACAGTCAAAAATTATTATTTCCTACCCAACAGGGCCTAGTTGACGCAGATATTTCACCACCTGTTGCATTTATGAGGGATTTATGTTGATTGTGGTTTGTTCAGTAAAATATATTTTCTTTTACAAACCGGTGATCTGCTTACTCCTGCCACCTTTAACACCGTCACAATTTATGCCTTTGATCATATTTAGTTGTCTATAAAGCTAGATTTGATGAACAGACAGGTAAAATGGATACAGAGTTATGAAGCAATATGCTTTTCAAGGGACAATCATATAATGATCACATTATTAGCCTGCTTACTATACCTGAAATAATTTGTACTGGACGTCATGCCTGACATGTTGAATCATCACAACATCCAAACCCACTGTGCCAAATACTTTCATACAGATGTTTGGCAGCATTGAAGTACTCTTCTGTTTTTGCTCTCCTGGAAGTCAATAAACTGCTATGTGGTTTACTGCCATCTTGTGGTGGCAGCAATGACTCAGTTGAGCTGCAAGTTAAATCAGACTATCTATTAGATTTTTCATTGTTGGATGGGAACTTAAAAAGCTTGAAATCATTGACAAATTTCAGTCTCTTTATTAAATTAGCCCAGTCTGCAGTTGTGGTTTGTCGGGTTTCTAGATGTGGCAAAAGACCCAACATATGATAATGTTTAATTTCCAGTCCATCTTTAACCATGACCAGCAAACAGCAGTGTTCCTCCCTCCTTGTTCCAGTTAGTAAAGACCATGACAAACAGCCCGAGGCGTTGACCTGGCTTCCAGTCTCCCCACTTCTTAATCTGATTGAGTATCTGGATTTTCCACAACAAGCATGATCTATTGCCTCCCCACCAGACAATACTCCGGCCTGGACTTCAAATGCCTCCCCAGAGGTTCCATTTCCAAAAGGCAGAACCTTACTGGAAGCTCGGGGTAGTGGTGGTAAGACCTGAGCAAAAGCAGATGGAATCATAATGTTTCTGACCAGGAAAAAAATCCCTGAAATGTTGTTAAATCTTCCTTTTTTTTAGAATTTTGCTGGTATATTGTTCTGCTACTTTGCACCTTCCTGCCAACAGTTTATCCTCTGTAGTCCTCTATTTAGCCAAAAATATGCATCACTCATCACAAACCATGGCTCCACTTTGTGTTGAAAACACTCATAGTTTACTCTCTCTTTTTAATATTTTGCTGTGTAAAATGTTTACCCTGCTTACTTCATGGCATGATATTGCCACCTAAATATTAAAAAAGGATATATTCAACTTCTAACGTGTGAATGATTTACTGTGGAAAGGGTAGTGTGGTTCACCTTCTTGCTTTGCACACAAGCTTACTTGCAACACAAGAAAAGTACTGGGGGGGTTCCTAGATTCCTTTCAAGATATAACAAAATCTCCATCCTTTGTATTATATTTTTCAAATACCCTTTTTCTAAAGCACTAAAAGTTTAGCACAGGACGCATTCATCTTTAAGACGCTCGATGGTATAAGGAGTGTTACATTTGTTCCGACCCCGCTAGGAAGAAACAGTTTGTGGCAATCAGGAGAGACTTGGATGGCTTATCTCCCACCCACTGCGAACCCCACCACGGACATTTCCCCAAGCCCAAAGTCCTGCAGCATTATCTCTGCTTCTTCTGCTCACATTGACAACCTGCTGATGTTTTGCTGCTTTTCAGCCATCCCTCTCCACACCATCCATCCATCAGTTACATCAGTCTTTCACCCCAGCAATGTTCTTTCCTGTTTGCTCCTGCCTCCCCAGCTTGTCCTTTTCGGGCCTTTCCATTAATCTTTGGGCTTTGGCATTCTTTCCTGCGGCTTTTAATACTCTTACCCTTCATTTAATTGTAAACTCTTCACACATCCTTCTTTCTATCATTTCTGAGTCCCATGGTTCTCTAATCTCTGTTTGTAATTCCCCTCTGCACTCACTATTTCTGACTTGACTCGTCTTTTCCATTTAATGTTGTTTTCCTAATCCTATCCTATCCTATCCTATCCTATCCTATCCTATCCTATCCTAT